TGTATATCAACTAAATGCCTTTTTTATGATTCATTAAAAAGCATTATTTAAATTTTCATCGATAGTCTGATTGAAAAAAAAACACCATTGCATTAAATATTCAAACTCATGTTTCAACTTACAAGAAATGTATGCATACCAAGATAAATCCGACTAAGACACACCCAAACACATACAATTGCTGCGACACTTAATCCAAGCCACATGTTAAACTAAATTAATACAAATAACTATATTAATATTAATGTTCTACTTTGAAATTTACATCATATCGTTGAATTGAAAGAAGAACAAGTGATAATGGAATACCAGCTGCGAACATCGCATGTGTAGAAGGAAAACCATATTCTTCAACATAACTTTAATAACAACAAATAATTTATTAGTATAAAAACAAAAATATAATATACCGTTTTTCTAATTTTAATACCGGTGGAGATGGTGGTCGTGGTATAGCTAAAATATCTTTAGTTGCTTGTCCAATATACATAAAAAATGCCCAAAGAATTGAAATTTTTCTTGCAACAGCACCATCAACATTCCATACCCTTAGAATAAAAATCGTTTATGTATTTATTTTTAAATAAAATAATATAAGAAAACTTTACCATGTTGGAAAAAATAAAATATAAAAAATTTCATTACCAAGTGCTGCACCAAATTGAAAAAAATAATACCAAAACCATGATGTAATTTTATAATCAAGTTCTAAAGAATTTTTTTCTTTATTTTCATTTTGATTTGTACTATGTTTTATTTCTTCAATACATTCATCCAAAACATTTGAATCATAATTTATTTTTCCATGAAGATCTCGATTATAAGCTTCATCAATAATAAATGTTTTATCATCATCATAATTTATTAAATTATTATTATTATTTTTATTTAAATTATTTTCATCATATGTTGTTGTTGTTGTTGTAAGATTAGATTTAGGTAAGACACCAAAATATTGTTGAAATTTAGCAACATGTTTTGGTTCATGAAGCCAAATAATAGATGAACGAAGATAATTCCACATTGATTAATAATACAACAAACAGTAAAATAAAAAGAAAAAAAAATAAAACATATAAAAATATTATTTCTTATCAAATTTTAGACGTAATTCTTTCAGTCATGTAAAGATAAAAAAGAAAACGAAAGGAATTACGTAGGAGAATATGAATAGACTAAGCTCAATACGATGAATAATGTCTTTATCTTATTTCATCGAATTTGTCGACAGATAGTTGATTGATGTAATTCAATGAATAGAATGTAGTAAAAAAGAAGAGAACTGTATTATTTGATCCGCAAAAAAAAAGAAAGACATATTGTATATCGTATTAATTCATCAAACACGTTGCACATATAATCTATTTGCACAAAACTTTCAAACGATCGATTATTTCTCTAGGGTATATTATATTATTTTCAAATGAAATATTCTCTAAGAATGGAAATTATTAAAAAAACCGAACATAATATACATTTGTTTTTTTGTTCAGTTATTTTAATAATTGGATAAATCCATAGAGATTTAACTATATTTTGAAAAAGAAAATTTATTTAACAGACTTTTTTTCGTATGACATGATCAGAAAAATAGATTTGCTAGGAAAAAGTAGTCGAAGTACGTCTAAAATAACGTACGTTTGAAGTATTGTCTAGTAATATTAACAACAAGATATCACAAATAGTTTCAAGCTTTTAAATTAATGTATTATCGATATAGAGGGAACCACTAGATTAGTTTGAATTCGTCTTTTTATTCAAGTTTACCGAAGATATAAATATTTCAAAACACTTTAATTTTCTGTACTTGAAAAATTGTAGGACAAAATATTGTATTTAAAAACTTTCATATCTTGATTCAATTTGAATAAAAAATGAAGAGTTCTATAGATAGTTGTACTAAATTAATGATGCTTTACATATGATCTCGAATGTTTAACATCACTCATGGTACTTTCTTTTCAATTTTATAATAGAATGTTTCAAATAGACATTATTTCAAGCAATATTTGATCAAATTTTTCTACCATACCTGTTTCGTGAGCATGTCATACGAGAAATAAAAACTCATTAAATAACCTTTTTTTTTTCAAAGTATGATTGGGTACACATGGAAGTACCCAACTATATAATAAATACTTTAGTGAAACTTCAGAGGCAAAGAAATGTGAAGAATGATATAATAGTTTTGGAATAAATAAAATAAGAACGTTTGGGAAAACGATATATATATATATATATGTTATATTTGAATGAAAATGCTTTTACTTTTTTAGTTTCGAAAAGGAAAACCTCAACTGATATGATGGATAAATAAGTGAAGTGTCTTATAAAAAAATCTATTGGATGGAATCGAAATTAATGTGACTTCTAGCGCCACTTTTTTTCATCTTTTTATATATAAATAAAATAAGAAATTGATGAAATATTCAACATTTTTGTTCATTCATCTTTTTTAATTATTTCTATAGAATAAATTTAATTTGATTCGTTAACACAGTTGTCATAGTAAGAATCAATCCCCATGGTGCCATGTGAGCGCATCTTTTTTAATATACTGTTAAAACAAATATGGTAGGAGTTGAATTAAAAGGTGCATTTCGTGGTGAAACACGTAGAAGTTTAAGATCAGGTAGATAATTTTGTATTTTAAAAAAAAAACATATAAATGATAAATTAAGGTTTTGGTGTTTATCAATATTCAAATCCATTCTTTCGATATGAAGGAACATGGCACGAAGGCAAAAAACATGGTATATTTATTAAATAGTCTGTAAACTTATTTGTTTCTTTTTTTTTTTCTTTGATGAAGGTTTTGGCAAACTAATATTTGCTGATGGTTCCTATTATCAAGGAGAATTTGCTAATAATGAAATAATGGGACAAGGTACACGTTATTTTGCATCATCACGTAATACATATACAGGTCATTTTTATTATGGTAATATAATTATTATTTATTTTATATTTTGAATGAAATTTTGTTTTATCTATAGGTGAAATGGATGGACATGGACGTTTGAAGTAAGTTAAAATATTTGAGATAATATTTGAAATTACAAGAAAAATATTATTTCTCACCAATCTAAATTTAAAATAAAATTGAAATACAGTAAAACCTTCCTATAGTGGACACCTATTGGACTTTTTGAAAGTGTCTACTATAGGGAGGTTTGGTCTTTTCAAAAAGTGAAGGTTTTCGAAGAAGCGGGTGTGTTTTCTAAGGATTTGAAGGGTGTTAATGAATAAGATAACTAGCCAGTGCTTATTATTACTTCTCTCCTCATGCATTTTTGTTCTTGAAATACAACAAAAATCAACAATTGTTGGAATACAGGAAGGCTCTTTAGTTGACACTGAATGAGACGTCTCAAAAATGTCCAGTATCGGATGGTGTCCACTATGCAGAGGTTCAGTTCCAGCAAGAATCTCTCCGTTGGACCGCGGAGTGTCCACTATTGGAGGTTTTACTGTATTTCTATCGTAGTTATCAAAGAATGAAAATATGGGATCATTTGTGAAATTCGAATGTTTTTTTTTGTTTTTGTTTTAATCTTAGAATGGGCAATGATGATTGTTATGAAGGAGATTTTAAATCAAATCATTTTGAAGGTGAAGGTAGTTATCTATCCCATGATAAACAATTATATACTGGTGCCTGGCATAATCATCGTCGACATGGATATGGAGAACAAACATATCTTGATGGAAGTCGTTATTCAGGTGATTGGATTTCTAATAAACGACATGGTTTTGGTAAATTGACTGATGCTCAAGATGGATATATTATCTATGAAGTAGTTTGATTTTTTTCTTTTTTTGATTTATTATAAAGATAAATAAAATTTATTTTCTAGGGTAGTTGGAAAAATGATTTAATGCATGGTGAAGGTACATATAATCTTGGTGAAACTTATACATATCGAAATGGTATGATGATTAATAATTATCCAATTGGATGGCCATTTCGGTTGTGTATTAATGAAGATCAAACATCAACAGTTATACTTACTGAAGAACCAATAATAATTACTGTTGATATTGTTGATTCTTCAGAAAATAATACTCGAGTTGATGCTGATTGTGGACGTTTAATTCGACTTCGTTGTGGTCAACAAACTGATCAACCTACAAGTGATAGTCTACCAACACCATTGTATGTTATGATAGATAATAAGAATATGAATAATAGTTTGATATTATTTTCGTTCTTTCTTCTTTTCGTTTCAGTGGTTATCATATTAATTTGATTCCAAGAAGTACAAAATCTGCTTCGTCTGATGATCCATCAGTATCAGCATCGAATGAAGAAATGAGTTAGTTAATTGATATAACACTTCAAAAAGTTTTATTAACACTTTTTTTGTTTTTTTGCATAGATATCAGTGAAAAAAATCAACATATTCAAGATTCAATGTTAACTGCTGCTGATAATGGTCGAGCTCAATTTGTAGGTATTAATATCAATACATTTGCAATGCAACTTGCAAGTTCTTCAGTTACTTCTAAGTAAGTAGATTATAGACAATAATATCTTTTTGATATAATGTTTCGAGCAATAAAATAAGAAAAATTTTTGTTGTAGAAATTTATTTACTAAATTTTTCAAAAATATTTTATATTTATTTTTAGTTCACAATCACTATCACGATCAGCTTCAACTACATCGTCACAACCAACATCTGCTAGAAGTACCCGTCGAAAAGGTACAATCCTCTTTTGTTTCCTCTGATGTTCTATGTATAATTATTCTTTTTTTGTTTTCTAACCCTAATAGATAAACCTTCAATGCCATCATTTGTATTTATCATTGATGATATTACAGATCCAGTACCATTTAATAAATCACTTGATGCTGTTTATTTACATGTACAACTTTCTACCACTAATACGATTCAATAAAAATTGATTAAAATTTTTTTTTTTTTTTTGTGTAAAAATGAAATTAAAATATTTTTTATTTTATTTTATAGATAAAATAATAATAATAAAAATTATTAATGGCATTTTGTCGAAATTCATTTGCGATTCGAAAAACAAAACCTCGTAAAGCTGTTTCACGTTCACCACTTAAATTACCTGCTGATGAACTTGCACGTGAACTTGGACCACAATATCAAACAATTGATGTTCGTGTTGGTAATCAAAAACTGGCATATGATATTTCCCAAGGCGATTGGATGGCTGGTAATCTCTCTTTCTCTCTTAATCATCTAATAGTAGAATTTGTTTTTTTTGTTTTTTTTTTAATATTCTTTATATTTATAGATGGAATAGTTAGTACAGTGGTTAGTGCTCGTGAAATTGGAAAATTAGAAAAGAAAAAACGAGAATTAGAAGATGATAATAATGTTCTTCGAACAAAATTGGATATTCTACTTGAAATGCTTGCTGAAGTTACTGCTGAACATGAACTTCGGAAGAGTTGAAAGTTAAACAATATATATATATGTTTTTTGTATTTTTCTGAAATATAGTTTCTGTATAGAATAATAATTATTCGACACATTGAATTATGATATAGAAAAATATCTTAAATGTACATGTGCAAACATTTTTACGCTTGTTGTAGTTACATTTGAAGTAAAATAAATTAAAAATTAACAAGAAAATATCAATTCAACCGAATAATTAAAAATAAATCAATCGATTTATGTTAATGGTATATATATACAAAAATTGAATGAATTTTATTTGCTTGTTATACATATATATATACATAGTCTGATATTGTGAACTTGATGTGACTAAAGTTTATAAATGAGTATCTTGTATTCAATAGAAACTATGGTATAGATAAATAATACTAAATCTTAAAACAAAACTACTAGATAGCATCAGTGATCTATTATTTCTTCAATATAGTTCTTATTGTAGACAAGAAACTCGATTGTTTGTTAAATTGACCAGACTTCAAGCAAACATTCTTCTCATAAAAGTTGTAGACGTATGATAATAGAAAAATTTAGTTGTTTGTTGACATTGATTTTATCGAAAAAGAAAACAATTATAATATATTAAACAATGTTTATTACAATGAACATATTTTTTAAATGAAATCAGTTCGAAAATGATCTCTCTACTTATCAGTTGACAATAACTTTATTTTAATACTTGACACAAGTATGTTGCCATGAACAAAATGGACAAATATTATATTTTCATACTAGAGTCTGTTGAGTTAGCCCAAGACGGGAACTCGGTCCGGACACGACTCCTAAAATTTTGTATTCGATTTGTTCTAGTGGTAAAAATTTGGGAAAAAGCCTATCTAGTATCTTCTGAGTGATTATTCAATTTCAATTAAAAAATTTCATTGAAAGGATCAAAGTACGTTTTCGACCGTGTCTAAAACGTCATGCTTTACAATATCTAATTTTGAATGTCTATCAATAAAAATAAAATCAACTAGCATTTGTAATCATTGAAGATTTGATAAAAAAATCAGAATTTTGTTTGTTTACTTATCATACAAATTACTAGTGTTGAAGTTAATTATAAAAATTACTTTTGAACACAATAATTTCAAATCATATAAAATAGAAAATACGACATACTTGAATTTGAACCTATTTGTGATTGAAATCATTTTATTTATATACATCTTTATGAAAACGGATAGAAAAAAAAATTAGACTTGTGAAACAACCATACTTTTAACTTCGAAAAAAAAACAAAAACCAATTTCATTCAAATAAAATGTTTTACATTATAATGCATTTTGTCTCAAGTTAATCATATCTGTTATCTTTCTGTTTATCATTCATAGTCATCATATTCTTCTTTTTCAAATTATAAACTTCTTACATGACCAACACGTCAAATGACTTTTGAAAAAAAAAGAACTTTTTATTTTATTTTTTTTTTGTTTTTACAGTCAAACGTTGACTTATTTCTAATTATTCAATAAAAATAAATATTGTTTTAAGATAATTTTATCTAAAATCTATAGTTATTTTATAGACGAAATGTTACGATCAAATCGATTTATTACAAAAAAAAATCTATTTGCTATTAAGATAACAAAACCACGTAAAGGTATTTCCTTTTCACCACTTAAACTTTCTAGTGAAGAAATGGCAAATGAACTTGGACCACAATATCGAACAATAGATGTTCATATTGGTAACCAAAGAATGGTATTAGATATGGCTCAAGGAGGTTGGATACTTGGTAAAATCTAATTGATCTAACTTATGTTATTTTAGTTTTTTTCATCTTTTTTTTTTTTTTAGATGGAACATCAATCGAACCTGCAGATATGACCAAATTAGAAAAGCAAAGAAATGAATTAGAAAAAGATAATAGTATTCTTCGTACTAAACTAGATATATTATTGGAAATGTTAGCTGAAACTACTGCTGAAAAATCATTACAAGAGAATCATGATAAATAAAAACAAAGTTATGCTTCTTTTTTTTTTTTTGTGTAAATGATTCTATATCTATTCAATAATCGATAAGCAAACAGATAAAGTAAAATAAATTTTGGTCGTATGTAAGAAAATCAAATGATGTTTAATAATTGATTTATCAATAGAAGAATGTAAAAAGTATCTTATTGATGATAAATCTTATCAACATGAATCGATTGTAAAATACACAATAGAAATAGAATGTAAATTTAAAATACAAAAAAAAACACTTGAGACTTTGAATATTCATTATTTATTTTACGTTTGTTCATGTCATAAAATAAAATCTCAGAGAACTTGTTTTAATTCAGTAGCATTCGACAAGAGATAATAAATGTATTCAATACATTAAATAACAACTATGACATCTTATCATCAAAATTGTTCGCAAAAAAAAAAAAAATTAAAACAATTTTAAAAATAAGTAAAAAGAAGAAAATTTTATATTGAAATCATAACAATCATAAATTTAACTTCGCTATAGTTCTCACTGTTGACAAGAAGTATAAAAACGTATTGAATCTTGTATCATAAAATATTTTGACATGTTTTCTTAAGATCTTCTACCAAGTCTTTGAAAGCACAATATTACGTTAAGTGTCGAAATATTTGACTTTTTATTTTTGAAAATGTACTAAACAACAAGAGATCCACATTTTAAGTTTAGGCCAAATTCAAAATTATAAACATTTCATTTTGAATTTTTATGTGATTTTTTTAAGAAAAACTACAGAATTTTCGATTTGTCGATCGAATTGATAATTACAATGTTAGAATAAACTTTACAGAAAAACTTAAGAAACTTTGTTAATAAAATATATAATTTGATGCGTTTTAATTTCTTCCTCTTCCTAATGAAACATGATTGTCTTTATCGAAAATGATTAATATATTTAATTAATCAAAAAGAATACTACGATAACTGTATCAAGGACATAGCAAATTCTAATATATGCTTTCTTCACCTAATAACTAATTGAACACGAACATTCTACTAGATATTACATAGTTATTTTTTTTTCCACAAACTATCAACATTTATTCTTATTTTATAATAACATAGAATAGTTATTGAGTTAAAAAACAATAATATAAAAATATTATCGAAAAAAATGTTTGATCATTGTCAAGTATCTTTTCGGATATGAAATTATTGATTTAACTGTTCATGTCAATTTCATATACGTTTTTCTTCAGAAGGTTCTCGTAATTTTTTAAATCTAATTTATGTTCGAAATAATTTCTTAATTTCATTACGATCCGAGACACTGTATAGTGATTGTTAGCGAATTCTTTTTTCTTTTACTTTCTCGGCACATAGTTCGTGATCAATATATTGTATCGTTATATGATCTTAATATTGGAGAGTCATACGATTTTCCTGCAAATTTCGTTATGAAGTTCTGTTTGTTTCCAATTCGCCCCATAAAGTGATAGTTCTGTTTTTTATTCAAGACAATGAAAACAAGTTACAGTAATAACAATGATAAGATCAAATGTTGCTGCTGCAGTTTGAACCTTTCATTGTATCGAAGATCAATAATTGAAATTACAAATCTATTCGTCAATCTAATAGTTTATATGAAACATAAATCATTAGAACTATGGATGAATTTAATTTACTTTCTGGTTGAAATATTGTGAGGCAGTCCAAAATGTTAACTTAGTATATGTCTGTTTTCCATTGATTGGATGAAAACTACGTTATAGTTCTTCATTTTTAAAAGGAGTTTAATTTATTTTATGTTATTTAAAACTATTATGTATTGCTTGTGCTTAAATACAGGAAAAATAATCAAGATAAATTTATTTCATTGCTCTTTAACTGAATTAGTTTATACTTGAGGAAATCGCTGTAATGTATTCTCGAAATGATAGATCGGAGTGAATATAAATAATGAACTAATTTTGCAGCTGAATATAGATTTACAACTACATAATACTGAAATCATAGAGATAATGAGAACATCGTTGCAAAAAAAAGAAAATACTTTTTGTCGTCTATACCAAGATTGATTAGTTGATTTTTTTCATTTAAAAGAAAAAAAAAATCTTGGCAACGGTAACAATTCTATGCGTAGCATCTTATCAAGTTTTATTAAGGACTTTGTCTTGAATTTGAGTAATTTCTATTTGCAAAGTGTCTCCTGGTTAACAATAACTTCTTTTTTTTTTTATAAATGAAAATGATTTAGAAATTCGAATAAAAATTTCATGATCAAAAGATCGTTCATTAAATAAAGATTTGCAAGAACATATTCTAATAATCTATTTGAAAAATTATTTATAATAATATCTTAGATGTATTTTGATAAATAAATGTGTTACAAACTACTTTTCCCAATTTGAAAAATGAGATAAACATAGGAAAGAATTTTATTATCTTTAAAATCTCCCTAATGTAAATTGCATATTTTTATATAAATTTCATCGTTAATATACATGAACATGCAAATGTTAGATAAAAAACAAATGTATTTAATTATCATATATAATTGATAATATTCTGCTTTAAATCATAAACATCAATTAATCTTTTTTCTATCCCAAGAGACAAAATTGACTTATTCTAGGTTTGACATTCAATGTAGAAATAACATGATTAATTCATCATAAACGTCTGTTTTTTCTTAATTACAATATAGTAGAAAACAACTTAAGTTAAATTAATTATTTTGAAAAAAAAACAATTCAATTATTAATATTATTCGTTTCATATAAATTAAATATGAATATAAATAATCTAATTTATTATTGATGAATAAAACAAAAATGAATTTTGATTTTTCAATATATATATATCAATTAAGCGAGTTTCATTTAAACATAAATTTAAAGTTAATTAGAAAACAACTAAACATTTTAAATTATAATCAAATTATGCGATCTACTTTTCTTTTTATTAAAACACACATTTTTTTGTTTTATTTATGTTAACCTTCTCTCATCAAAATAAAAAATATACTTTATTTCTTTATTAATTATTTTCTAATACTATTGTCATTAGATCTAGTATTCATATTATAGATAAATCTTTGATTATTTAATATCACTATGAAAATTTCAATCGTGTAGAATAAAAATTCGTTTGAAAAAACAACAAAATGTTTCATATACTTATGCAATGGTACAGCTTAAATTTATAGGTGTTTTGTTGAATATACGTTTTTCTATCTTTAATAATACAAATCTTCGACGATTGAATTCATTTTTATAGTCTTTTTGTTTTAAAGTCTGTAACAATACAAACTACATGGAAAAAATCCTACTCATCGTCAGTCAGACACATTTGTAGTTTTCTTATACCGTAGACCTGAGTTTACAATTGAATTCGAAGTAAAATATTTTATTTGAAAAGTAGTTTCCTTTTGAATTTTCTATGAATTAAGATCATATAAATTAGAATACATCAATATTGAATTATTTAAGCATACAAGAGTATCTGAAAAATACTTTTAAATGTTCTAATTACAGGGTTTTGTTTTTGGAGTGTTTTTCACGTTTATTTCGATAACACTAAAATCAGTTATTTTCATCATACAGAATGTTTGAAGACGCTATAAAAACAAAACAACTTTTACATCTGAAAAACTTACAAACACTTTTTTTCTTTGATAGTCTCAAAAATTTGGTCAGAAAATTTTTATGAACATGTTTTCGATGCAATTAGTTGCATTTTTAAATGACATCATACATCTTTTATTATGGAAATAGCTACATAGTTTTGGAGTTGTCTAAGTGGACATGAAAATTACGATTAGAACGTTTAGACATGTTTACAAAAAAAAAATCTTGTTCGTTTAAGTAATTACTGAATAGATAATACTATGCAATTATTGTATAAAATTCATTGAATAAATCATTTTATTCAACAAATAAGTAACTTCATAAGATGTCTGAAATGCAAAAGTCGAGTGAATTTTATTTCTTGTTCTATTATATATGTGACTTGATAGAGGTTTTAAAAATTAGTTATGAATATATATGTTTGTTTTTATTTCGATTTAATCATTGTTTAACTGGAAAAATGCTTAAATATATCATATGACTAACAGATAGTATTTTGAAGTCATGAATTCGTTTTACTTAAAGACATTGTCAATTTTTTATTATATTTATTTTACAAACTTTTTGAAAATATTACGTTCTGAGTCAACATGAAAAATAGAATAGAATAATGTTATTTTAGTAAAATGTAAAACTACTAAGGTTAAAAGAATTCTATCGAATATAATTAGGTCAATCAGACTGGAAGCAGATATCCGTAAGCATTCTTGGAAAATTTTTGTAACAAAAAAATAGAAGTAAATGTCTTATTTGATTAGGATTGTTAGACTGTAGGCTATAAAATTAGCTATGTAGTTTTTTTTAAATTCTATTTAATTGTTGGGAAAATTGAATTTTTTCCTGTCTGGTGGTAACATGAGATGAAAGAAAAGAAAAATGTGTTCATACTTAGTAGTCTTCACTGTGATGTTCCAGTCGAAAAGCACAACAGATAGAATATTCGAAAACAACGGCAAAAACGGCATCGAAAATTACATGTTTTAAGAATCTTTTTTTAGAAAAAAAATCAACCCCTGGAGGCTAGGGCCAAGATTTTAGAAAAATTGGCTTGAGAATGACCATCGGAAACAGTTTTTTTTTGCTAAAACATATATGATTCGGTGCAGTTTTGGGTGCTGATTCCGAACATTCTATTTTTTTTGCTTTTCCACTGGACCATGATAATAAAAACCACAAAATACGAACATATTTGTCTTCCATCCGCCTCATATTACTACCAGACGAAAAAAAATTTCAATTTTCTCAACAATTAAATGGAATTTACAAAAAAAAAGTAAATAAGTACTTTTGTAACTCACGATCTCGCGGTTTTAATGAGACAAAACACTTGCTTCTATATTTTGTTACAAAAAAAAACTAGATAACTTTACAAGAATGTTTACCGTTATATAATTGGAGACTAATGGACCTAATTA